ACAGGAAAAACGACTGTTTGAAGATCCGCATTTCCCCGCACAAGACAGCTCTTTATTCTTCAGCAGGAGACCACCAAAGAGGATTGAATGGCTTAGGCCTGGAGTCAGTTTATTATTCATAAGAAATTGAAAGTGCTGCACTAATTTATTGTACCCATATAGTGTGCTGTTTGATGATAGGCGAGAAATACCGTTACTAATGTGTTATCTTTTGAAATTATTGCTGATTTCAGGAAATTGTTCGCGAACCTCAGCTCATCACTGAAGGTCACTCTCGCTTTGACGTTATTCAGGTAAGAATGAATAAGAAGTACTACGGTAGTTTGTACAAAGGCCTTTGCCTATATCTATACTTTTTGATCTATGTGTCTTTACATTGCTCAAAATTCTCTTAACTACAGCTGTTCTTTTGAAATGAAAGTGTTTTTAACGCTACCACCTTCATCGCATCGCTGCTTGATGGACATCAGCAGTTTTATACTGAAATTATCCACTTTTAGGGAGAACTTGGCGACTGCTGGCTGCTAGCTGCTGCCGCCAATCTCACGCTGAAGGATGAACTGTTTTATCGTGTCGTTCCTCCAGATCAGTCCTTCACTGAGAACTACGCCGGTATGTTGCGATACACCAGATAGCCACTAGTCTTGTCTCTGACATAGAATCAATCACATTCATTTGTTCATTAGTACCATATTTCATCGAGTTCTGCACGAAGAGAAAGATCTAAGTTAACAAAAAACTCTAATTTTAGAAAAGCTGATTGAAAGTACTTTCTAATAAAAACACAACTTACAAAAAGAGAATAGATAGCTTTTGTATAAACGGAAAACTTTTAAAAGGTCAAATTTTCAAAATGTATGGCACACAAGTATTCAAATGAAGTTTAGAATTGTCAGTATCTCAGCAAAATGATTTTTCAAGGTATCTTCCACTTCCAATTCTGGCAGTACGGAAAATGGGTCGATGTTGTGATCGACGATCGTCTTCCTGCATCCAATGGCGAGCTGCTTTATATGCACTCGAAGAGCAACAATGAGTTCTGGAGTGCTCTTTTGGAAAAAGCTTATGCCAAGTATATAGTGGATCATTTTCGAGATGTTGCC